CAGCCTCCCAAGTAGCTGGCACTACAGGCACACACCACCATTCCCAGCTAATTTTCCTATTTTTTGTAGAGATGGGTTCTCGCTCTTGCTCAGGCTGGTCTCGAACTCCTAAGCTCAAACGATCCACCCACCTCGGCCTTCCAGAGTGCTAGGATTACAGGCGTGAGCCACCGCGCCTGACCTTGTATCTATCATTTTTTTGCATGTGAATGTCCAGTTGGTTATTAGTTTTTGCTAAGAATACTCTAGCAGGACTCTCCAAAGACATATATATGCACATATATATATATGTATATATATATATAGTGAGCTACATAACAGTTGTTTAAATCGACAAGTAAAAATTGTGTATATTTTGGTATACAACATGATATTTTGATATATATATATATATATACACACATACATGGAATGGCTAAATCAGGCTATTTAGCATATGCTTTATCTTACCTTTTTTTGTGGTGAGAACACTTAAAGTCTACTCTCAGCAATTTTCAAATACACAATATATTATTAACTTAGTCACAATGATGTACCACATATATAATTTTAAATGTCCTTGTAGCCACATTAAGAAAGTAACGAAACAGGTGAAATTTATTTTAGTATACTATCATTTCAACATGTAATCACTAAAAATTATTAATATCAAGAGAATTTATATTTTTTCATATGTCCTCAAAATACGTTGTACTTTGAACAATGCACGTCTCCATTTGGGCTAGCCGTATTTCAAGTGCTCAATAGCCATGTATGATAGGTGGACACTGCAGCTCTATGGCAAAAGGAATGATTGCCAAGGGTTTTCCTACACAGGCTTTCTACTATGTAATTACCAAGAAAACCCATTACTTTATTTTATTTTATTAATTTAATTTTATATTTTATTTTTTGAGACAGAGTCTCACTCTGTTGCCCAGGTTAGAGTACCGTGGTGTCAGCCTAGCTCACAGCAACCTCAAACTCCTGGGCTCAAGCGAACCTACTACCTCAGCCTCCCAAGTAGCTGGGACTACAGGCATGCGCCACCATGCCCGGCTAATTTTTTCTATATATATTTTTAGTTGTCCAAATAATTTCTTTCTATTTTTAGTAGAGAGGGGGTCTTGCTCTTGTTCAGGCTGGTCTCGAACTGAGCTCAAACAATCCACCCGCTTTGGCCTCCCAGGGAGCTAGGATTACAGGCGTGAGCCACCGGCCCGGCCCCATTACATAATTTAATCTCATTGGTGCAAGTGCCAGCAAGGATTCTTCGGTATGGCTGTAGGAATTGCAGCCACTAGAATTGGGAGGACTTCTCATTGCCTCACATATGTTCCAGCTTTCCCCTGCCAGAATTAGCCACATTCATAACCCTTTAGGAGAAGAAAGACAGTTATCGAACTGCCATATTGTATGGGAGAAAGTGCCTATATTAAAGGTGATGGGCTTGGAAGCTGCCC